AGCTGGAACTTCGAAATCAAAACATCAAGTCCGAGGTATCCGCAGTCAAATGGCCAAAGTGAACGTTTCGTCAACATTGTCAAAACAATGTTCAGGAAATGTACTGAGGAAGGATCTGATTCTAATCTAGCTCTACTAGGATACAGAAACACTCCTGTCACAGGTTTGCCGTACTCTCCAGCCCAGCTGCTCATGGGCAGAACATTGAATGACCTGATACCAAATGATCCCAAGATGTTAAAACCACAACTACCTGTTGATGCTCCATACCTGCTTCAGCAAAGAAAAATAGAGCAGAAAAAAACACTACGATCGACACACAAAGAGTCGTCCAGAACACCACGTGGGAGACAGTGTGCGAGTGCACACAGGAAGATTCAATAATTGGGAAAAGGGAGTCCTCACCGGTATGAGCCAAGCACCTCGATCTTACTTCGCCACAACAGAAGATGGTACAACATGGCGACGAAACTCCAGAGTCATCAATAAAAGCAAACACACTTCTGTTACCAACGAACCATCTAGCTTTGATGAATACGAGCACCAGTCAGAGCAACAACCTCAAGGGACACAAACCAACAACCAATCTACAACGTCCCAGGTCGAGTTCCCAAACTCACCACCAAGGGTCGAGCTCCCATGCTCATCCTACAACAACACAACACACTACAATAGACCTGCATACACTACTAGGTGTGGTCGAGCGGTGAAAAAGCCAAAACGTTACACTGAGTAGGCATGGCCTTTTATAACATTTTGCATACAATGTGATGAATTTGTGTGTCCTGTACGATCACAACAATGCATAAACACTATGTGGAACATTTGATGGACACTAGCGCTAATAGAGCGATTGTATTTGAAGGATTAGTTAGCAAACACATACTAATATTTCATACTCATCTGCTGAGAGTCAAGAACTTTGGAAGAACTTTAACTCACAGTACCAAGAAACATTTTGAAGAAAATTTGTAATTGACAGATATTACTTTTGTTCAAAATACTAATTACTATTTGTGTTATCAGTTCAGAGTTGAACCATATGCACTGTACATTTAGTGTTTTTTTTTTTAAAGAGAGAGAAAGAAATTGTGTGTGTCTTTCTTAGAACACAAGCTTGTAATTCTAAAATTTGATACGGTACAAAATATAAAATTTTGAAAAGAGAAAGAGGGGATGTCATATTCGATAATAATAATAATAATCGATACCGATCCGGATATGACGTTGTAATCAATTCTAAAGAAATCAACTATTGCATTCTGGGTTACCAAGATGGCTGCCTCAATGTTCCTTACCGTTATCCCGATGTGTGTCTCACGTCTTGTTATGAATCAAACAATGATCTAAAGAACCCAACAAACACAACAGGGGGTGGGTGGTGGGAGGGGGGATGAGAGGTGGGAAGGGGGGAATGGGAGGCGGGGGATGGGAGATGGGATGGGAGGTGGGAAGGGGGGATGAGAGGTGGGAAGGGGAGGGATGGGAGGTGGAGGAGGATGGATAGTGGAGTGAGGGAGGGGGGGATGGGAGGTGGGAAGGGGGGATGAGAGGTGGGAAGGGGAGATGAGAGGTGGGAAGGGGAGGATGGGAGGTGGGAAGGGGAGGATGGGAGGTGGAGGAGGATGGATAGTGGAGTGGGGGAAGGGGGTGGGAGGTGGGTATGGGGGAAGGGGAGAAAGGGGGTGGGGGGGTGTAATGTCCATTTAGCCTACCTATGCCAACCTGGCATAGTAGCATGTAAACAATGCTGGCCATTGGTTTTGGCAATTGAAGAACAATAAAGAAAACGAGCAGTCTGAGTTTCACCATCAATGCCTTCACTCTTGTTTCTATACTCTTCGTCATCTTGTCTGCTGTGTGTTATAAACTGGACCTATAAAACAACTAAAAATTATACTGGCGACGAGGTATTAAAAACCCACATAACTAGATCTAGGCAATCCTATTCATACGTTTATTCAGTCTACTGCATTGAGTAAGTGTTTAGTGTAGTACTAGTAGGGACACCAGTCTCGAGTCTAGAGTTCTAAATATAGATCTAGATCTACTCTACTAGTGCAAGATCTGCAACAACTAGATCTAGTTTGACTTTGAAACCACAAAGGGCTGGTTGTCAGGGTTGACTAAAGCAATATTAAACAAAAACATTCTCGGCCTCGGTTCTTTACCTCCTAGTCCTAGCTTTGGATCGTATCCAGAACTAGGTCCCCAGGCATAGTTGAAAAAAACAACAACACATGGCATCATCGCTACCTCCGTTCCCCCCTTTCAAAATAAGGGAAGACGAGTTATTGTTTAGTATAGTGTTTTACGGCGCTCGCAACTGCATAAGATCATATGAGCGCGCGGGACACACCTAATACTTTTTCGTTGGTAGGAAATTTTGAATTTTGCCCGGGTGGCGGCCGAAGCCTACTCTTATCGATTTTAGACCACCAAGGGATCCTTAACGTGCGCAACTTGCACACGGGCCCTCCGAGATTTTTCGCCCTTGTCCGAGAAGGCTAGGTGTAGATCTTTCCTACCAGAAGATCAGGGGTGTGGCAGAAAGACAGCAGTTAGGAGGAGCCAAGGAGTAGCAGTAGAAAGGCTGCAGAAAGAGTCAGGAGCCCAGAGGAGGGGGCAAAGGAGGTGAGGGGGTGGGGGCAGAAAGTGGAAATGAAAGCAGACAACAGAACATTGTTAGAGATCAGGAAAGGATGTGAAAGGAGACAATTTTAGAGAATAAATTTTTTTGGTCGCTACCCGGAATCGAACCCGGGACCTTTGAATGAGAGGCCAACACCTTAACCTCTAGGCCACGAGAGCCCCCGAAGACGAGTTATCGGCAGGGACGAGGTGGAAGAAATGGATAACAAAATATGAGAATC